TCCATAGCAGAAGCTTGCCCTTAACTCCTAGGAGAGTTAATTCATGGAGGATTGCAGTAGGGGAAGCTCTGTCAAATGCACCCTTGAAATCTATGAAGTAAGAAGACTGTGCTTCCATTGAGGTACTGTGTGCCAAGCACATTTGTGTTCCTTTCCCCTTTTGGAAACCAAAGACTGGTGGGTGAATTTGATCTTTGATCTGGTGGAGCAGACGATTGAGGAGGATCCTTTCACAGGTTTTAGAGAGACAGGATGTCAGAGAAATCGGTCTAAATTCATCAGGACACCCTGGTTTTGGGATAGGAATAATGGTGGCTTGTTTCCAGGAAGTAGGCAAGATGCCTGTAGAATAAGTTAAGTTGAAGAGATCAAGAAGAGGATTTCTTCCCTGTACCTGTACCTTTGCAAGGAGGCGAATGATGTCGTAAGTGATTCCATCATCCCCAGGTGCAGTGGATTTGCTAGTTTTAATGGCTGCAAGAGTTCGTGTCTTGTAAATGGTGCATCAGCCTCATCTAAAAGTTGGCACTGATAGTTAATTTCATTTTTGTGTTTTGACTTAAGGGAGCATCTACGAATGGATAATGGAAGATTATCGAGAGAAGAGTTTTCGCAGCATTTACTGAGGATTGACAAAGCTACCCTTTCTGGATGAGGGTGGGGAGTGACATTGTGTGCATTGCCTTTAATCTTATTGATTTCCCTCCACACATTACTCAAGGAGCTCGTGGAGTCAATCGATTCTGCCCAGGCATACAATCTCTCTTCCCGCTTTTGTGTCATTATCTCATTAAGTTTTTTACTAAAGAAAACAAGGTCCCTAGCTAAGTAGGGATTTTCCCCCAGGTTTTTTTAGCTGATTTACTGTAGACCTTATTAGCTTTCTGAGTAGCTTTATTTCCGGATCTTTGTTAAGGTGATATGCTCGTTTGCCTCTGGAGGATGAAGACCTATGTTTGATAGGGTTTCTGGGTTGGAGTTGGGTAATGAGGTTGCCAACTTGTTGACAGAGAGTTTCATTAAAGTGATCAAGGCTGGTAGGAATATAGTGTTCATACCAGCAGCCAATCCTTTTAATAAACTCATCATGATGTTTAGTGGCAAGATGGTATCGAAGACGTGGCTGGGGCGGGCGTCTTTTAGCGAATGGGAGAGTGATACTTAATGCACAATGATCACTGACTAAGAAAGGGACAACTTCCGCAGTGCATGGGAGTGGGTGCTGATTGTATAAGACTATATAATCTAATTTGCCACCTAGATAATGAGTCTTTTCAAAGGGGCACAATAGGTGTATGGGATCACTGGTGTTTTGAAGATAATCATAATATACCTTACCGTTTTTACCTATGGTGCTTCCCTC